CTCAACTTGTCAGCTACGTTATGGTTCTAACCAACTTCACACTCATTCAACAAGCATGTCAAGCTCATCAACCAAAATAGGCATGCTAGACTACGCAACCCCAGTCAGGCTTTTCCCTGAGGACATGTGGTTTTGTAAGTTGACTTTCACGCGTATAGGCTAACATCTTATCAATTCAAACAGGCCTACATACGGAATAACGTAATACATTTTTTATTTTCTATTTCTTAAGTCATTCTGTCTTGATAATCCCGAGATAAAATTAATCATTTTTATACTTGCTCTGAGTTATGACCAGTTTTGCGTAGAAACGTTAATATATATACACACACACTAGAGTATATGTGAAGTATCCCAACCTTTCTCTATCAATCTATATCCAAATTTTCTTGCAATGAGTTCATAAATAATATAGGAAAAAACAGATGCGTCTTCTTAAATTAGTGTGAAGTTAAGGATTTTGCAAGAACGAGTCCCAACTCTGACGAATCTTCTCGCATGACGAACGAAGGCTCAGGCCATCTTCGATAGAAACGATGGAGGATGTCTCGTGGACGGCATCAACCTGAACATCGTATTAAAGCCATGCGGCTGCAGTAAAACGGGAATCAACCGACATCTTCTGGTGAGGCTGACCTATGAATCTCTTCATCACGTACTTTTGTGTAAAATGAAAGCCTTCACAAGAATATTATCTTAGGAGCTTCTTCGAAACCAACATTTTATTCATATATGAAATAAAAATATCTACAAGAAAGCGAGCGGCCAGGAAGTACGAAGGATTTTTGATTAAAAAACCTACCATATCAACTCTACTCTTGGCCTAAGAGATGCCTGTTAATACCGTCCAATTTCGAGGGGGTTGGCAGAATGTCTCATGATGCTTCTGGTCGGGAGGAAAGGGTGTGTGGAGCTTGATGGTAAGGAGTGGGGCTCTTGTGAATGTGTGTGTAACTGAATTTAATCGTCGTGCCAATTCGTTTGCTCGTATGGCACACGCAAGAATGTAAGTGGGAAGTTGAGTGCACTGAGCTGTCTCAGTGTGATTGGAGGCAACAGGGCAATTGTGTTTGTTTGTTTGTACGCGAGGCGAAATCGCTGTTAACCCAGAGCCATGCAGAGGATTGGGCATGATTTGGTAGTATTTTTCATGCAAGTCAATTAGACCCTGGGCTGGGATCCGAGTGGGAAATGACGCCACTCGGTGACCATCCGTTGGCGCATTAGTGGCCAGCCTCCCCTCGGTCCCTCGGCCCACTCGTCCGGCCAGTCCCGGTCTGTAGCCCACACCGTCCCGGCGTTTGAATGGGCCTGACGGAAGGTCGGAGACAGGGTGACCAACAATTATCAGGGCGCCCACTTTAGGCCGGACACGGAGGCCAACTGGGCCGGAGGGGGACACGAGCATACACCTCGGATTGGGTACATCACACTCAGGCAGTGCCCAGCGTTGCCCCGACAGTTGAAACGATGCGGATGAGAACTCGTCGTTTTGACAACGTCCGCTAAGGCCCCATGGCCAATTTCACATTCTCAACGGACAGTTGTAGGATTTCGTCGTTTTCGCGTTGAATGCACTCTCGTGCGCCAAAATTGGTAGCTCACGCCTCCACTTGGCCCTCAACATCGTCGACTCAGACCTGCAGACCTGCTAATTTGAGCCCCAGTCCGCCCCTACGACCGCCTCGTGTTGGCTGGCCTCGAGTCCCGCCGTGGCAAAGTCGCCCCTCTTCCAGCCCTCCTCGTCTTCTCCACTCGCCTCTCTTCCGTCCAGACACACGGTACACACAGTACACACGGTACACACGGTACACACGGTACACACCGTAAACATGGTACTGGACGGTACAGATGGGACAGAAACAAGCCCTACATTTCGCGTCTTGCCCCGTCCCCCCTTGCTTCTCATGCCAGTGGTTCAGAAGACGCACGCAATCGTTTGGAGCACGCAACAAGCTGACGGTGGACGAGGCGGGACAGTCGTTTCGACCACTACTCGACTGCATTATACTGGCGCGAAAATTGCCACATTGCCACCCGGACCATGGGCTGAATAGGGGGGTGTGAGGGGGACGAGGACGTACATGTGACCGGAGCACTCTGGCCTGTTAGAAACCACCATCATACAGACTACACACCCCTCGTCCCGACCAGGCCGGCCGAGTCATCATGGTGGCCCTCTCTTGGCTTGTCCCACTCCGACGTTCACTCAAGCGAGTCTTCTGCCAATTCTGACGCCACAACCGGCCTCCATGGCGCCGGATCTACCGCAACCCTCGGCTGTCTCGAGGAGACATGTCACCTGCTTGACACGCCTCGATGAAACACGAATCAACCTCGTTTCGAGTCCCACCTGTCCTTTTTCCGATTGGCCGGTATCTCCGGCCTCGAGCCTCCAGCGGACCTGGCGCCCGCAACCAGCCAATTCAACATGTTATGACGCCTTGTAGAGCATCTTCCCACAACATTGTCCGCAAGCTGAAAACTTTTGAGGCTGTAGGTAGCTCGTCTTGTCCAGAGGCACGAACAAATATCTCATTTCAGTTCACGATGCCTCCCACAAAGTGGATGGATACAGAGTCTCAGTTCGAGTCTCGCGGTCATGCAGATTTCAAGTCGCACCTAGCCAACCCCCTGGTTTGCTTTTGCCACATACACACACACGTACATATCCGTACGTCTGTGTGTGTTCATCTGTCTACAGGGAAGATGAACTGAGGCAAGCCAACATTTTCAACTTGACTCATGGTGACACGACAACCGAGTGAAGAGGTCCAAGAGAAGAGACGACAATAAAGTGATGGTTATCTTTCGCCAAGTTAACAGGCCGAGGCATAAGAGGTGGGAAGAGTTGGTCTGTCCTCCCCAGTTTGGCAAGCATGGTCAAACTGTACAGTGACATGCTGGCTGTTTTTAGAATTGGCGTCTACGCGAAGACGGGGATGCCAACAAGCGGCAATTTAGTGGATGAGCGATTCTGGCCCTTGACCGGTCCGAGGCCACATCGGCAACAGTCGACAACGTTTCCACCGGTCCCACCAGGCCCCAGTTTACAGGAAGACATCGGATGCATTTGCCCTTTCGAGCCCCTCGAACAGATGTTAGCGTTGCCACGGCTTCTGCTCAAGCGTGACGACGCTTGGACAAGCCTGTGTCCAGTCGACCGGCCAGCCGGCACCGGCAACCGCCAGTCTAGCAGAGTCTGAAACGGAAAATCGAGCATGTGCACATGTTGCCTCATCGGCGGGAGAGGAGAAATTTTTTTCGTCCCGCCAACTCAAGGGCCACGAGGCAAAAAGTAAAACAGTCCCATGCGTCTCCATGCGAGGTGGGGAGCTGCAGGTCGGTGCGAAGGGGCAACAGGGAGTGGGACAATTACAGGCGAGTGCCAGAGGGAGGAAACATGAGTGGTTGAGCCTGAATGTCCGTCCGCTTGCGTGTCAGCTAGTGGACCAACTCGACCCTGGATACAGGTATTGGAGATAGGCGAACGCGCCGAGGTGGAGGCTTGTCTTTTGTTTCGAAACTGTCCGTGGCTGGTGAGACGAGAGTCTCCCGGTCACGTGAAATGGCCAGGCCTCCAAGAGGCAGAAAGCCAAAAGACGAAAGAATATGCCAGTGCAGACGACGGCAAATCTGTCTCGAAGGCGCCGCAACGAGAGCACTGTGCTCACCCCATCAGACCAGCTAGCGGACTCGATAGCTCTTTCGTCTCTCCCTATTAGTCGTTCGGCCTCACCACTTCTCATTCTCTCATTCTTTCTGTCTATCTATCTACCTATCTATCAATCTACCATGTAGGATATTTGTATATATTTCCTTCTTTCTTTACAGCTATCTACCTCTCACCCTCAAACCCGTTCACTATTCTCTAGGCCAGCTTCTGCCGCTTTCCATTCGATGCGCACTGTGGGAAAAATTGTTTACCTTGTGGAAACGGAAGCCAAAGAATGCTCTAATGCCTCTGGGCAAATTCGTGTAGTCGCATGCCTTTACAAACAGGCAGATGCACACACACACACACACACACACACATACACACACAGGCCGAGCCAAATGCCTCTGGCACTGAAGGGTGGAGCGAAAAGATCCGGAGAAATGTCTCCGATGTATGCCTTGTTCATAAGGCCATGTCGTTTCAGGTTGTGAAATAATGGATTTAACATGGCAACAGACAAAGCTTCTGTTCCGGACATTCTACCAGTCCATAACTCCACCTTGTCACTAGGCCACATAAACTTTGGAAGAAGAACAATAGAAACGATGGCACAAACAGGAAGAGCCAAACAGTGATAAGAAGAAAACCTGATCTTTGGAGACATTTTACTCAGGCTTAGGACTGTTTTTCTCCAAGTTTCCAGCATAACATGAGTATCGAATGTTGAACTTCATGATGCTAACTCAGTTATATACTAAGAGTAACTGAGGTTCGAACAGTCCCCTGAGATGACATTGTTGTGGAGACTTTCATTTCGGTTGAAAGTGCATGAAGAAGAGATTCGAAGGTCACTCTCACCACAAGATGAAAACTGATTCGCGTTGTACTGCGGCCGTCTGGCTGCAGTTG